CCTCCCCATTCCCCCCCCCCCCCCCGTGTGGCTGCATGCATTCTGAAGCCCGTGATGCAATGACACATGCCACCCTTGCCCTCCACATGCCAGAGGAAGCCTGGGTTCTCCACAGGAGTGGAGGTCCCACACCCCAGCCAGCCCAACAGCTGAGTGGCTGCAGAGAAGTCAGTCTCCGCACCAGTGTTCTGAAAAGGGCTCTTCATGGCTAGTGCTGAATTAGTACAGCTCTCTAGAAAAACACTAAAATGTCTAGAAATGGATCTAATTCTTCCTGGTGAATTACTGGACAGGCCTTCCCATGCATGTCAACAGCAGCAGAGTACGTTCATGTGGTTCATGTGTGTATGTGTGTATGTGTGTGTGTGCGTGTGCCTGTGCATGTGTGTGCATGTGTGGGGTGTTTGTGTGTGAGAGAGAGGAAGAGTGGGAAACGGGGCGCGTTTGGTTCCCCTTCTTCTCTTATGGCACATAGGGCACCTCGGATTCGAGTCCAGTCCTTTCATCTACTCTGTAATAGCTGTCAAGACCACAATCTCGGTTTCTGACTCAGGGATCTTAAAGTCCTGTATCCTGCTTTACTTATAGCCATTTCAGTAAAAAAAGAAAAAAGAGGAAAGACAAGCGGCCAGCCCGGCCGTCTCAGCAGTCTGCTTACCTTTCTGGGAGAGCGGGGTGCAGGTAGGCTAGGGACAGGTGGGCAGCTGGAGGTGCCAGGAACAATGGCACTGGGGGCAGAGGGGCAGGGCTCCCAGTCTGGTGCATCTCCCCTCACCACTCTAGCACTAAGCAGCCCGATGGAAAAGGAGGCCTCGGCTTTTCAGTTCTGGCTGAGGCACGGCCCCCCTGCCCCACCCTCTGCACAGAGAAGGCACTCACTTGCCAGGTTTATCCAGAAGCCCTCCAGCGGGGCACTGGCAGCACATCAGAATATACTCCTGCAGGGCCTGCTGATGGAACATCCAGTGGCTCATGCTGAGGGCAGGGTCACCTGTTGAAGGAAGAATTGTCAGCAGGGGCCTGGAAGGAGTCTGCCAAGTAGCCACAACTTACTTGTAGTTTATAACCCAGGGAACAGTCAATGTTTCCCTCTCGTTCCATGCATTTTTCAGGACACATTTTCCCCCACATCTCGAGTGATGTCACTTTTTTTTTTTTTTTTAAGTTTGCTATAGGGCACATGTGCTCACTGGAAATAGGGAGAGAGGGGAGTGAGTCATCACCCCATAGACCACATCACAATCCCTTCTTCTCCGTGCTCCTCTCAGGATGTGGGGCATGCACGTACACACGCCCAACGTGATTTTCCACCCCCGTGTCTGGGGCTCTACCTGTGCACTGGCCACGCGCGATCCAGCTGTCTTAACCTCCATGCCAATGTGATGGGTGCACTGGGACAGAGCATTTGGGCTGTCATTCTCTTAAGGGACAGCACCTAAGCAGGGGCCTGCAGGAGACGGTGCATGCTGAGCAGCTACAGGTGCCCTTGCTGGCCTGCTGGGCACCTAAGGCCCAGAAGTAACACACTGCTGGCCCTCAAGGCATATCCCTTCCCCTAAACCTTGGCATGTGCCGAAGAGCAGCAGTTCAGAGTGGCACTGTTACTTTCCTCGAGATGTACAGACTTAGATGACGGCCCTACATGGCACCCTGGGTGGCAGTGAGCTGGCTTAGTACAGCTTTCCGGACTGCTCCCAGTTCGCTCCATCATGCCCTATTCTGGACTTCCAAAGTCATTTCCTCTAGTGCAGCTCTGAGGCCTGTTAACCAGATTCTAATGAGCTAAGCCAACTCTTAGGGGTATTGGTAATAAAGTCCATTTTTTCCCTTGCCTTTTTTCTAAGTCTGAATTTAATCACACTCCAGAGAGAATTCTCCACTTTTTCTCTTGGCTAAACAAATTTTCCTAAGAAATATTAATGATAAATTCCCTCCTGGATCAGATAATAGCACAAGCAAACATTGGCCATTCTGGTAATAATATCCTGACAAGCAACTGGACTTGTTCACTCTGAAGTTCAATCAGTATATACAATCCAAGAATTCCGTGGACCACATGGTTATCGAGAGGGAAAGAACAAATCACCAATAGACAGACGTGTTCAAACATTTACATAGAAATTGATTTTTAAAGAACTATACATAGGAGTCAGCAGGCAGCATGGTGGTTAAGGTGCTGGACTTCCACGTGGCTGACTGCAGTTTGAATCAGTAGCCCAGGGTCTTAAGAGTCACGCCAGGTGCATATGCATACGTGCCCAGAATTCTAAGAAGAGAATGGAGAAGGGAGTACAGTGTGGCCATCCCCCTTGGGGAATGATTTCTCACTTTCTCTCTCTCTGTCTGTCTCTCTGTTTCTCTTCAGCAAGCATTCATGCCTTATGGCAAAAATGTAAAAAAAAAAAGAAAGAAAGAAAGAAAAGGAAAGAAAAAAAGAACTAGAGTGTGTATTATAACCTCCATCAGTTTTCTACTTTGCTCTCTGGCCTCAAAGATGCCAAGCAGTCTGTGAATGGCAATGGACAGCTCCTTGCTCTTTCTCCCAGTCTTTGTTCTCATGCGTTTTCTATATAGTTACAATTGTTATCATTGCATAGCTTATGTTTTTCATTTAGCCATGAAGGTATAAACTTTCTGCTTTATAATTCTGCTCCATAACTTCAGAACCTCATTTTGAACAGCCACATGGTATTTCATTAAGCGGATGTGCAACAACAACAACAAAAAATAGAGGAAAAGGGACGAGCTGCTCCACTTTTGTTAGAATCATACGGCTGATTTTTCCTTTGTGATTTCTTCTTCAAAACGTATTTAAAGAGTATGAGCGTTTTCTGGGAAAGGAGTGGGTGAAAATATTCTACATTTGGTCATGGTGATGGCTACCCAACTTTGAATATATAAAAACCACTGAACTATATCATTTTAAATGGGTAAGCTGCATGGTATGTGAATTACAGCTTTATAGCGCTGTCATTTTAAAACGCTTATTTCTTAAACTTTAGGATATTTACATTAAACGTCTGTATAACATATATCTTTATTTCTTATCCTACAACAAATGAGAGACATACGGTATTATAAGGTAATGATAACCTACGGCTAAAACGGACGTCTGAAAATGCCATGGTCATTATTAACACGATTACAGACTGTGTCGGTTGCTTCCTATGTTACTGAAGTTTAAAAGCGGAGAGTTCCCAGACTCCACACGGAGCTCCCGGAGATCCTGAATTCGGACACCAGCACACACCATCATGTCATGACGAGGCGGATGTGATTACACGATGCTAACTGTGCAATGGATCCAGCCTTTTAAAGCCCTTCTATCTCCTTCCTTAAATTACAAATTCCATTATAATGTCATTCTGCATTTCAAAGGTTCCTTTTATATCAAAAGTCTTTCCAAACCATCACTGACAGGTGCAACCACAGGTAGCACACTTTCACAGGTGGACGAGAAAAGGCCTTGGGCATGTCACAAAGAATTCACAAGAAGCCAGTAACCACTAACCCCCGTGAAACTCACAGACCTGCTGTTTTCTTACCTATCTACACAAATGAAGTCACTGACTTAGTCGGCATTTCATATTTTTAAAGCTACTAATAACAACTTTTTTTTTTTGACTCAAATACAGTCTTCTACACATGGAAGGCAGTCACCGGCACGGAGCTGCTGAGAGTCACTTGCCAGGTCAGGGTATGACCCAGACTTTGTGCTGTCCTGTGTCAAGCTTCTGCTCATCCTTTTTGTTACAGTAGAATCACGGCTTTATTTATTTTTAAGAATTATTTGATTTAACTTCATTTATTATTATCTTTTTAAAGTTTTATGAGGGATAGGAGAGTGAGAAAGCAAGCTGCCAGGCCTGGGACTCAGTTGGGTCAGCCATGTGGGAGGCCAGCGCCTTTAACTACCTTGCCACCTGCCGGCCCCCACCTTTTTTTTTTTTTTTTTCCCCCATAGAGTGTGTGTACTCACCAGAGAGACAGAGACAGAAGGAGAGAGAAAGTAAGAAATCACCTCCCAGGGGAGATGGCCACCCTTCTCCATTCTCCTCTCGAAATTTGGGCATGCATGGACATGGATCTGCCATGTATTTCAAGTCACAGGGTCTGGGACTCGAACCAGAGTCAGTGATCACTACCCTTTAAGAAATGTATTTGCTAGGCTGGTTCTGGCACAGCAGTAATGCAGAGCTCAAGAGAAGCCAGATCCTGGGCCAGATCTGTGATGTGGTAGTTCCAGCAGCAAGATCCTCCATGGCCGACTGTGGTTCAAGTCCCAGACCCAGCAGCTTGAGAAACACAAGGGACATGCACGTGCAGGTGCCCAAAATCCCAAAAGGAGAGATGGAGAAGGGAGTAAGGTGTGATCATTCCCTGTGGGGAGTGCTTTTTTCCTCTTCCTCTCTCTCTGCTTCTCTGTCTCCCTCTGGAAAGCACATATACCCTCTAGCAAAAAAAGAAAAAAAAAATTTTTTTTTTTTTTTTTTTAAAGAGAGAAGCCAGACCCCATATAGCCCCTGTAGTTCAGATGGCTAGCCTGAAACATGCCAGGCACACAAACAAGCACTCGACATGTGATGGACTGGAGGACTGGAACTGCGGCGTGGCAAGACCTCCTGGAGGGTGTGCACCACTCCCCCTTCCTCTCTCTTCGCGCTCGCATGTGAGTGCGAGTGCACGTGCTCTGTTATGAATACCAAAAAGAATATGTCTGTTCATGTACCAAGACAAACACAGTAATGGACAAGCACAGTACGGTACAAGACACAGCATTTAAAAGTAAGACTCCTTCCCTGTCTCTTCGCCTTCTCCCAAAGGCACCCTAGTTACAAGGCATCTGTGGATGTGCCCAGGAAAAGCTGCTGTATCCCAGCCCGAGTGTGCACACACGTGCTATAGATGTGGCCTTTCATCCGTCACGTTAGATCCTGGACAGCTGCGCAACAGGAGCACTGTACGCAGCTACTGCTCGGGAAGGTCATCGTAATATATTTAACTTAGAACCTTTTGGTGGCCGATTAGGTTGTTGGGTGTGAGAAACTCCATGGCATTGTGGCTAAGGCGCTGGACTCCCACATGGCTGACTGTAGTTCAAGTCCCAGACCTAGTGGCTTGCTTTCTCACGTTCCCTCTCTTTCTGTCTCTCACTGGTAAGCGCACATGCCCTGTAGCCAATTACAAAATAATAATAATAATAAATTAAAGAAATAATTCTTGGGACCAGCAGTTAGTGTAATGGCTATGTCGCTGGACTCCTATGTAGTCGACTGTGGTTCGAGTCCTGGACCCGGTGGCTTAAACTCATGCCAGGCGCGTGTATATGCGTGCCCAAGATCCCGAGAAGAGAATGAAGGAGAAAGGATTGTGGCATGGCCATCCTCCTGGGGGGTGATTTCTCACCTTCTGTCTCTGCCTCTCTCTCTTTCTGGTGAATGCACACGCTCTATAGTCAAAACCTCTCATAAATAAATAAATAAATAAATAAATAAATAATAAGAAAGAATTATTTAAAACAAACAAATTCCACTTCAGTATCCATCCTTTGCTAGTATCTCCGCCAATAAATTCCTGAGAGTGTACTTATTAGTTTATCTCCAACCTAACCTCCAAAAAATGATGCCCCTATTCGTACCCCCACCACCATTACAAAAGTGCTTGTTTATCCATGCACCTCCCATCATACGGCATCAAGCGTTTTCATTTCTGCCAATCTGATAATAAAAAATAGTGTCACTATTTTCATTTGTATTTCTGTAACTACTAGTGAACTGAACAACTTTTTATTCCATCAATGCCCATCAGCAGAGGTTCTGAGGCCAGCTAGGCTGGACTGACACAGCCACGTACTAACTGTGGGTGCCAATCAGGTTTCATCAAGCAAGTCACTCAACCTCCCTGTTCTCTGTTTTCTCTTCTGTCAAATGGAGATACCCTGTTCTCAAGTAGAATAAACTAGAAAGACTATTCGATTTGGGAGTCAGCAGGCAGCCTGAGGTTCCAAAGAGATAAGGGATTCGGGAATGTTCTCAGAGTTTCTGCTCATCTGAATTCTTCAGTTTTACAACCTCCTTTGAGAACTCCCACAGAAACCAGCATGGGCTTCTCCATTTCTATGGTGTAGGTGAACAAATTCACATTTAGTACTGCTCAAGGAATTTAAAAGACAACATTTATTAGGTGACAACTACACAGCCGGCCAGACACCGTAGTCCTTTCTCCATGGGTTCTCTGCCCTTTACGCAGCTGCCTTTCCTGTCACTGCTGTGACCAAGAGCAGTGTGTGCTGTCAGCTCTGACATGACTGGCTTCACACCCAGCTGAGGTGGCAGTCGCTGTGGGGCCCCGACAGGAGGGGCCTGCTCCCTCCAGATAACAAAGCGGCAGCACGGGCCTCTTGGGAGCAGTTTAAAGGAAGTGCCTCCTGCAACAGCTTTAAAGAGGCAAAGAATGACCCCTAAATATTCTGCATACGCATGCCTCAAGTCAGGAGCTTCAGGCAGGTCGCTCAAAATCCATGACAGCCAGAGCTGGTGGGTAGGTCAGTCGAGCCCCTCTTAAAAGCACCCTGGTTTCCCCAAGTGGTAGCAACCTAGGGAAATCATTAGCCCAGCAAGCAGCTCCCAGGCTCACCTTGAGCGTGCAGCGCTCGGTGGAGCAGAGGCAGGAGCCCTGCCTGCCAGAAGGAGTAGCAGCCATCCACCAGCTTGTTGCAGCGGCCCTGAAAGCCGCCTTCAAATCGCATCTGCCGGCTCGTCACCCATTGCTGAGAATAAGACACAGATGAAGAGGCAGGTATAGGTTAAAAGAGACAAAATCTAGCCAGACAGGAACTCCGGAAGCAAGCTGGTGGGAGGGAAGGCTTCTTGGCACTCAAGGTGGGGTGCTTTGCCTTCCTACCCCCCTGCTTCATGGCCACTGGCACTGAGTTCAGCATTGGAGCTGACCCCTGCAAGCAGCCACACAGTCTCTGCTGATGCCTAAGAGACAGCTACCTTTCCTGTGCCTAATGGGCCAGTGCAGAGAGGATTAGAGGCCAGAAGGATTTGCAGGGAGACCTGCAAAGGTCTCCTAAACACAGTTTAGATGGGAAATTTAAGGCAACATCAGCAATAGCTCATTGCTTATCAGTGCCCACTCAGGGAAGTATGTTAAAAGCAGGTAAGTGAACTTCTGTGCTGCATCTCATCAGATAGTCTCCAACTGCTCCACTTTTCTTTGGCACCTGAGGAACTCCACGAGGACTGGAAGCAGAAGTCCTGATTACCAAATAATGGCTCTGCCTAGGTGGGCCTCCCTGCTTCTCCAGAGGGTCCTGGGTGGCTGATATAAGAAAATCTTTTACTTGGAAGCTGTAAAGTGGCTCTTGATGTCACTAGGTGGTCACACATGATACCACTGTGCCTCATTTATCTCCAAGGTTTTTAAATACACTCTACTACAAATTTCAAGATAGTCACGGCTCTGGCCTCTCAGAATGCTCAGAACCAACTGGCTGCACAGATATGACATTTCTAATTCACTCCCCAGCCCGCCAAAGGAGGGCCAGCCACCAGCCACAGGCTGACGGAGCAGCCTCGCCGACCTGAAGGGTGCAAGGTCTTACTAGATTGAGCTTCGAAAAGTGGCCATTCTCAGGAACCTCTATGGAAGCAGGCAGGGTCAACCCTTCCTTGACCACTGTGAGTTTAGATCTTATATATCCCTGGTTCAAGGCAAAACTTCTCCATAATGTCACAATCCTGAATTTAAAAAAATAAATAAATAAATAAATAGACATAAAGCAGTGTACTGCAGGTTCACGTAATAATATATCCTTAGTTGGTCTTAAATGAACCAGTGCTTTATAAAGGAATATATGTCACTTATTGAATGTGGGCTAAGTGTTATTTAAGAGAAAGCAGGCACTAAAATTCGAGTCCACTCTTCATTTTACTTACCCCACAGCTAAAGTGTTTTAAGCCAGACTTTTTTTTTTTTTTTTTTTTTGAGAGCTGAAGCTCATGGGTTTATTCTATTTCCCTTGGCTATATAAATTCATAAAACCCTGCAGATACACATCCTAGTGCTCCCAAAGCATATGGTGGCAAGGAAATATTGAGTTGTCGGGAAAGTCATCATGCATTTTTACAAACAAAAACATAGGAAAATTACATCATGACTTACCCAACGACCCAACAACCGGGGTAAGTGGGATGCTAACATTTACTGAGCACCAACTATGTGGTAGGCGGTTTACATAACGTTCTTTCCTTTGATCTCCAAAAGAATAAAGATCATTACCCCTACCTTACAACAGAAAGAAAACGAAACTAAAACAGATTAGACCATTTGCCCAAGGTCCCATGTCTAGGAACTAGGAGAAACAGGATTCAAACTGAGACTACTGTTGTTATAACTCAAGCATTCACTAATGCTATTCTTTATTTCTACCTGGAAGAAGAGACTGTTATATTTTCTTTCTTGCTGGTGCTCAGATTTCAAAATTGCCTGATAAACTCTAAGTCCAGTGCACAGGCTTGGCCACTTCAATGTGAACCTTCAAGATGTCAAAAACCTTTAAGAAGAATATTCTGTGGGAGGCTTCTTGAGGGAAAGGGCAAAACGCAGCTGGTTAAAGCTCTCCAGAGTGCAACAGAAATTCTCGAAAGCTCATAATAGGACCCATGATGAGAGCCTGGGAGCTGAACTCAGGGAGAGGAGCTGAATGTCAGTTGCAGCTGGTTTATTTTGCGGTCATGATCGGGGGTACGTGCTCCCTAGAAGACACAGCGGGCAACACCTTCTCTTTGGTGGCAGTGGCTGTGGTGTGCTTGTGAACTAGGTCTCCACAGGTAACAAAAGCCTAGTCTAGTGACTCTTAGCAGCTGGCTACTTCCGGGGTGCGTTCTGAATACAGGCCAGGAGCTTGAAGTCCAGCCATGAGTGCTTGGGCCACCTTCTCAATGCAATTACCCAACTCTGCCTGGAGCACTCATTTAAATGTAGGTGCTAAATACATGGTACGGGAGGTAATGAAAGCTTGGCTTTGAAACACTTCCAAGCCCTTCTTATAATTTTTTTTCCTCAGGAGATTCTTTCTAAGACACATGGTAACCTTTACTTTTAGGAGACTGAAGTTTGAGGATGGAACATGTGGCGTTGGCCTAACACTACATGGACAGTTCTGTGCAAGAAGACAGGAAGGTGGGAAGAAGGAAGCCAAGACTCAGAACCGTTGTTGACTCTACCCACTGCCTCGGGTCAGTGCTAAATGTACCAACTCCATTGAATGCTTCATTCCAGGACTGGTCGTTTCTGGGCTAGAGCAGTAGTCAGGGCTAGCACTGTCAGCCCTTCCCAAAGCCTGTGTGTCTCAGTGCAGAGTCGTATCACCATAACCTCGGGCCTGAGGAGACGACAGCTCGACACTTACTAGTAAGTTCTTCAAGTTCAAGGAACGTTCCTTCTTGAGGATGACCAGTGCAGCCAGGCCACAGAAAGTGTAGCCGCCATGGGCTTCCATCCCTGGTACCCCGCCAATGCCACCTTCCCAGTTCTGACACCTAAGAAGAGATTGAGAAAAGTTGGTTGAGTGGCCAGGACATCTGAGGGAGCCAGGAAGAGCTTGCTCAGATGAAGCCATAAGCTGTCATAAATGTGAAGACCAAGATGTCATCCCATTATCTTCTGGAGACACCTATTCCTCACAAAAAAAAGGAAAGGAAAGGAAACAACAGGTAAATGTACTGGTATAGTGGTGGCTTTTTTTTTTGTTTCTCTATTTCAAAGTTTTTATCATGAATATGTTTATCTTCGTATTATTTGAAAAAAAATTAAAAATGATAATTTTCTATGTATTCAAATTATTCAGGACCAGTCACAGTAGTGCATGCTACTATGATGCTGTGTTCTACATGAAAGACCCAGGTTTGAGTCCCTTTAGTCCAACCTAAAGGCCAGATGCAGTCACGCTTACCTATAATCCCAGTAACACGAGACAGGAAGATTGTAAAATCAAGGATTGTCTGGGCAACATAGCAAGATCCTGTCTGAAAAAGACCCAGGTGGGGGCCAGGTTTGCCCTGAGGACGGCAACAGGAGCAGCTAATACTCCAACGCAAAGCCCACCATCTTTCTGGCAGGAAGAAACAGGCTGTCAGAAAGTGTGGAGGCTCCAGAAAGAAGTCAGAGAAGGAAAACCCCAATCCTGTGTTTAAACTTAGTTCAAGTTTCTGCCTGACCCCTGACTCACGTGCACACTGGGTAAATTGAAAGAAGCTTCTAACTAAGCACTGACGAGATATGAGCAACCACCCACTTCAGGTGTGCCAAGTTGAGTCTGAACGTTCTAGTTCATTCTGTTGTTGATAATAAAAGATACCTGGGTAATTTGAAAGACTAGAGGTTGATTCAGCTCAAGGTTTAAAGGTCCCAAGGTCCAAAGGCCACATCTGGTAAGGGTTTCCATGTTGATGGGGTCCGAGGCCATGCAGGGTGCTACATCGTGAAGGAACGGGAGCATACGTCTCTGTCCATGTGAGCTGCCTTGGTGTCATTCCCCCTTGTTATAAACCTGCCAGGAGTCAGTCAAAGGGGCCTATCCTAATCACATAATCACCCCCAGAGGCCCCACCTTTCAACACCATGAAGGCATTGAGTTTCCTCTGAGTATCTTCACAATACAACCAAATCCTAACAAATGGCTTTCTCAGGGACATCTAAACCATGGCACTAACCAATTCATTGCCTGCTAAAAGAAAAACATTAATGCCCTTGGGAGCAATCTGACAGAATCCATTCTTTACAACATAGAGACAAGGGGACCAGCGGTTAGTGTAATGGCTATGTCGCTGGACTCTCACGTAGTCGACCGCGGTTCGCGTCCCAGACCGGTGGCTTAAAACTCACACCGGGTGCATGTGCGTGCGTGCCCAAGATCCCGAGAGGGGAATGGAGAAGGGATTGCAGCGTGACCATCCCCCCTGGGGGGTGATTTCTCGCTTTCTGTCTTTATGTCTCTCTCTGTCTGTCTGTCTGGCGAGCGCACACACCCTATAGCGAAAACCTCTCCAAAAAAAAAAGAAAATAGAGACAACATCACAATATCCAAGATATAATCCAAAAATTGTTCAACATATGAAGAGTTATGGAAATCTGATATGCCAACTCTAAGATCCCCAGAGGTTGAAATGACCAGAAAAGGACTTCCCAGAAGATAATATAATTACATATTTTCCACAGCAAAGTGAAGAAAAACACACATTCTGAATAAAAAGATGACAAATCTCAGCTGAGAAAATATAAAGAACCAAACCTGGGCAGTGTCCACACTCAATCTCTCAACTATAGCTACCTTACTAATAAGCACTACATAATCCTCAATAAATGCTGGTTATCATTATTTTCAACACTATTAATCACAACATTGGAGGCTAGAAGATAACGGAACAATGTTTACAAAATTCAGAAGGAATATAGTTTATGCCATTTCCAATTTTGAAATCTCTACCCAAAGAAACTGTCAAACAGGTGTGAGATTAAAATAAAGACAGATGCATGATCTTAAGAATGTATTTCCTAGGTAACCATTTGGGGAACTAATGAATTATGTGTTTCATTAAAATGAGAAAATAAACCAAGAAAAGAAGGACAGGGGCTTCCACAAAGGAGAGAAGTGAAGTGAATTTCAAGCTGAAAGGAAGCTCCTAGGTGCCTGCTGAGCAGCAAGCTGAGAGCAATCTGTCCAGATTGAAGCAGGAGGGCGGGAGGATAGCTGGAAACACACACACACACTCACGCGCACACACGTGCGCGCACACACACATACCAATATTCACACACGCTAAAGAGAACAGAGAGACCACCTGAAGCGTTTGTACTGAGAGTAATTTTATGGTTCTGGTAGGGAATTTAGGAATGGATTCATGATGTATACATTCATGACAGAGACTTTTAACTCCAGGAAAATGAAAGTTAGGCCAAAGAGCAAATATGATCATAGCATATCATCCGGCTTCATTATAAATTATAGTCACATAGTAATAGTTATTACTTTGATCACTATAAAAATGTTAAAAACACAAAACAATACAGGTTGGCTGTCATCCATGGTATACATGTTAACTACTATTAGGTATGTTTTTAATTTTAAAGATTTAATTTTATTAGTATTATCATTTTTTTAATTTGCTATAGGGATACATGCTCACCAGAGACAGAGAGAGGAAAAGTGAGAAAGCAAGCTACCAGGTCCAGGACTCAAACTGCAATTGGCTATGTGGGAGTCCAGTGCCTTAATCACTATGCCATCTGCTGGTCCCCAACTAATATTTTTAAATTATAAAATGTTTGAGGGACCAGCAGATGGCATAGCAGTTACGTCACTGGACTTCCACCTAGTCGACCAAGGTTCAAGCCCTGGACCCAGTAACTTAAAACTCGCACCAGGAGTGTGTATGCGTGCCCAAAATCCTAAGAGGAGAACAGAGGAGAAGGGACTGTGGAAAAGGGACTATTGCCATCCCCTCTGGAGGGTGATTTCTTGCTTCCCTCTCTGCCTCTCTCTGTCACTACAGTGAGAGCACACACCCTATAGCAAAAATCTCTCCCTCCCCAAAAAGTTAAAAAATGTTTGATGCACCTAGAAAAGTATGCCAAATAATATGTAGAACATACATGTATCTAACTTCTAGCTTAGATTCCACCGCCATGTGAGCTTCGGGTGTTGTTCTGTTTGTAAGTTTATTTAAGAAGTGAACTATTCCACACACAGCTGAAATTTCCTGTGTAGACTTCCCCTGATCTCATCTTTGATCCTTTGTTCTCTCGCCACAAGTAACCATCACCCTGAAATTGGATGTTTACTTTTCCCATGCACTTTTTATATTATTCCTGCACATGCATCTTCCTGTAAACAATACAGAATTACTTTGAATGTTTTCAAATTTTAAGTAAATGTGCTGGTCTATATGTTTTCTTTATATCCTTTAAAAAAAAAAACAAAAAACAGTCTTTGAGGTTTATCCGTACTGATACATGTAGCTCTAGTTCACTATTTTAACTGAGTTATATTCCAACATAACTATATATGTTATATTAGTTTACATATATGTGCCATAATATTACATATATATTCCAATATGATCACATTATATGCCAGTGGGACCCTACCACAACATACTTATCCATGCGGTGCTAATGGACACTGCATCTCTTTCCAGCGTTTGGCTGTTACAAACAAGTGCTATGCAATCTCTTCCATGCATGTGTGTGAGAGTCTGTAGAAGAATTACTGGGTCATATAGGCAAGGGCATCTCTGAGATATTGCCAAATTGCTCTCCAAACTAGTTAAAATCAGTTTAGACTCCCACTAATACTGTTGGGTTGTTAGAGAAATCATGGTGCATTTTTGTACAGAAAACTATGTCATGACTTCTTCGACCGCCTAATATTTACCCCAATTTTTCTCTTTGCCAGTCTACACTATAACATGAAAGGACGTTTGGGAAAAAGGAGAAATTTTAAGTAATTTTTATTAATGTGCATACAACCCTAACATAACTCTTGTACATCTGTATTATCTTCTAGCCTTTTTCATTTTCTATTATTATTCTGAAGAAGGTGTTGACCACCCGCTCTCTAAGAGGCCAGGAGAAATCCCGGCCTCTCTCACCTTGTTATCCATTCAGCAGTGCCCTCAAAGAGGTCTGGGGTGATGATGTTGGTCAGGGAGGCTACCGAGGCAGCACAATATGCACTTCTGGAAAGACAGAAACAGAGAGGAAATGTGTTAAGATCCAAGGAAGAGCTAAATAAGACCGGGTAGATTGCTGGCTTAGCCTAGTGGCTATAATCACCTCTTGTCCTCACTCTTGGCACCAGGTCAGTCCTGCTGGGTCTCCAAACTGAGAGGTGTGACATTCTATTTGGATAGAGTTGCTCCCGGCATGGTTCCGTGAAAGAACATAACATTCTATTCTCCCTAGCTCCACATGGTCAAATCAGCATCAGAGGAAGCGACAGCCCGATTCCCGTCCAAAGTGGACTTAGCTCTTCTTTCAAAGACCTACATGGTTCCCACAATTCCAAGGAGCCATTCAGGCACTTCAGATGCTGGCTCATTCACTCAAATGTCAGTACTATTTCAGATCTAGGATTTCTGTCTATTCATGGCAGGACACATTAAAAGTTAATTATACTCTTTGGGCAACAGATACTCTCTAAAGCAGGCCACAAACCCCACTGGCTACTGGACCAAACAAGAGGGACAGAAATAGGTGAGTCCACTCACGTACATTCCTTAAACCTCTCCAGGGAGAAAAGAGCTTTGATTTCAAGGCCCTCACCAAATGTAAACAGACACATACCTTAAATGAGAAAGGAACACTTTTTTTTTTTTTTTTTAACATTATCCTCCTTGATTTGGAATAATTCTTGCCATCCTCTCAGCCCTAATTCTTCTCAACACATTTTATGTCAGTTTCTCTGTCATGGAACACGTCCATGAACTGCCTCTTCTTCCCCATTATGGTCTTTTCAAATACCCGGCATGAAGAAGACAGAAACTATTTGTTTCAATTCTGCTCATGACCCTTTTTCTAAGGCTCCTAAGGAACAGAAAAAGGGGGAAAAAAAAAAAAAAGAGCCTAGTTTCCATCTTACTCAGACAGAATTTGAAGCCAGACTTACTGAAGAATTCCACAGAAATCTCTGCAGGAGCTACAAGCATCACCATCCTACCAGCATTTTTATGAGCCCAACAGACACACTCTAAAGCAGGCCATAAACCCTCTGGCTAAAGGCACGCGGCAGAGGGTGTGTTACAGCAGCAGGCACCAGGAGCAGGTGGACTCGCGTGTGCCAATGCCAACCGCTACCGCTTCCCAAATGCTGACTTGGAGGGTCTGATGGAATTTCCTTCAGGTCTTGAACCTCTCAAAGAGGCTCAGAAATATTTGCTCTTGAATCCTAATGTGCTCTCAGAGGTAGGGAGGTGGCCTGTAACAGAGTTTGCCTCTCATAAGTGGAAGACCTGAGAAGTGAAGCCAGAGCCACTCATCCGAGATCTCACACTGAGGGGGGAGAAGAAAATACAAGTTTCTGTGGCGCTCCTTCCTCTCTCCCTCTGTGCGGACATATCACAGTTCTCAAATCTGTCTGCTATTATCTGTCCTCGCTGCCGCCACCCAAGCCCATGTCACCGCTATCGTCTATCTGCATCAGTCTCCTGTTGGGACTCCCTCCCTCCAGCTCTGAAACCAAAAGACGTTCATTAAAACACTACAATCCACTCCTTGCAACTGGAGAACTTCTAACAAAATGCTAATCAGGTCACATCACTCCCTACTTAAAAACTGCCAGAAGAAACACCAGCCCCCATGAGGCGATTGCAGGGCCTCCTCAGTCTGTTGCTGGCCTGTCCCTCCAGCTCCACTGCTCGCCCACAGGCCCTCCACATTACAACCACACCGAACTTCTCATTTCTTGAACACACCTCTGGCTCTGTCACCTAACTGGGGAAAATGTTGGATCCTTCTCTCCCCTGATCCCCACAGAGTGTTCCATATTATATAACCTAAATTAGGAGTCAGGGATAAGTCATGGTTCCTTTCTTAAGAACTGAGGAAAGGGACTGGCAGGTGGCATGGTGGTTAAGGGCAGTGGACTCCCACATGGTCGACCATGTTCAAGTCCTGGACCTGGTGGCTTGCTTTTTACCTTCCCTCTCTCTCTCACTCTGTCCCTCTCTTGTCAAATTAAAATAAATAAATAAAGTTAAATAAAATAATTCTTAAAAAGAACTGAGTAAAAAAGGTGCTAGCTGTGAGTTCACTGTGATTTGATTTTTTTGCAGTACCCTGGAGATGTAAACACTTGAATAAGCTCATCTCAGGCATTAGCAGGAACTGCGGCAGATCTGATGGCTCAAGAGACCACCTCTATGGAGCCAGACAGTGGCACAGCAGCAAGGCAAGTGGATCTACATGGGAAGGTTCTAGGTTCATGTCCTGAGGTCTCCTTGTATACACCCGGCCTGGGGTGTCTGTGATCAGGACTGGCTGAGGCTGGGTTAGGGTGTGAGGACCCTGTTGGGGATGCTATCACACTCTCTCTTTCTATCACTCTTTTTTCTATCTTTTCTAAAGAAATAAGTAGACTTAAAAACACAGAGAGAGGGAGACCACCTGTATCTAACCCAGCTGAGTGCAAGCTGGCCTCCACATGCCAAGCTGTCTCCTTCCCAGTCAAGTCCAGGTGACATGCGTTCCGAGTGCTGGCTGATGCTTCCAGACAAAGGACAGTGAAAGGAGCACTAATGGAAAGACACTGGAATTGGCATATGAAGAAGCAGGTGGAGCGAGAACACCGGATGTGCTCTCAGAGGTTTTGGCCACCATTTCTGTCTCTCATCCCTTCAGGGAATCAAAAGCACAGACTCAAATGGCAGAGCCTCACCAGATGAGCACAGGTAGGGGAGGATTAGGGCTACCGTGCTCTTCAAAGCAACAAAGCTACTTGATGGGAGAGGTTTCCTAGCATTTGTCTAGCAAATATGAGTAAGAACACAGAGGGGAAAAAACTGACGCTGGAAAAATAAGTAAGTTAGAGAATAATCATAACAGAAAAAGATACGGGAAAAAATACCAAAGGAGCTTCCTATGGCTTATTTGCTTTGCCTAATAATCTTGGTAAGTTTTCATAAGCAGTTTCCAGTTATAATATTTGGTAGAACAAATACAGACCAAGAATGAAAATGTAATAAAATAAGTAAATTAGAGAAAGGCACGTATGCCTCCTCTTGGGGTCTGGGTCACTCATATTCTGCTTGGAAATAAACCGCAGTAAGTATTAAAAAAAGTAAATTATATATTTTGTAAATATATACAAAATAAAAATGAAAATGTAGTGTAAAAAAAAATGAAGGGAAAAAATTATCTTTCTCCTTAAGGAGAGTCAATAAAATGTTCTTTTATCTCGGTAGTTATATTAGCTTCATTAGTTACATGTGAACAGAAAATTAGTTCAAATATTTCAGTCTGAACAGACAGATTACAGACAGGAGAAAGTCTTTTCCTGACGGCCTTTGCAGACTGGTAACCCACTTTATCTGCAATGTGTTTTATGCTTCACAACCTTCGTGTCCGTTTCTTCCCCTATACTTTGAAACCAGTGGTTAAGTTAGGTTCCTAAGCAAGAATGTAAATCAATCTACTCCGAAGCAAACCCATATATATTAGGTCATCAGGAGAGTCATGATGTATTTTTCTATGCAAAATGTGTCATGACTTTGCGGACAACCCAACATATAGGCAGTAAGATGGCTTTGGATGAGAAACCTCACCAAAAAAATATATATTTCTCAAACTATATAATAGGAAAATGGCATCCAATCTTAAAGATCCACTACCTTTAAGAAAAGACTGCATTCTCTATATGCCTCATAAGTAATCTCCTGCCAGGTGAGGAGTCTAGTTGTAAGATAAATCACACACCTCCTGAGTAAAACAATAATTTTGAGCCAACCAATCAGTTAGTGCAACTTTACTGCACTACACTTCAGTGGTCTGCAGTCTCTCTGAACCTCCCAAATCAACTCACATGCCTTGCGAGGGCCCCGGGTATTAAACATTCTCATGATTTCATCGAAATCATTCAGAGTTATTTACTGAGTTCCTACTGGGATTTCTTCCTCTTTCCTATCCCAGAGAGAGGGACAATTATACTACACAACATAGTTATTTTTATTATATTATTTTATACCAAACAACGTACTTTTAAAATAAATAACCTTTGTAAATAATTATTTTATTTAACTTTATTTATTTATATTAATTTGACCAGAGAGGGACAGAGTGAGAGACAGCAAGAGAGTGGGAAAGTGAGAAAGCAAGCTGTCAGGTCCAGGACTCAAACCACGATCAGTCATGTGGGAATCCAGTGCCCTTAACCACCAGGCCACCTGCTGGCCCCCCAAACAACGTACTTTTAATTTTTAAAATAAATTACTTCATTTTATTCTGACTTATTAGGTAGTGAGGAATGTCATGACTTGTTTTTCTATGCAAAAAAGCATTACGACTTTCTCAACTACTCAATATATTTTGATATTTAGAAGTCAAGTGACAGCGATACTTGAGATGCATCCTATCTGCATTGGTTATGATGCCATGTCATTGACAGGTCATTCTATGCATCACTCTATGAGAAAAAGCAGCAGTATCTGCACATTACTCAGTGTCTCTAACAGCAGATAAGCTCTAGAATCTACCAAGGCAGCAACCTCAGTGCCCCACTCACCTCACATCCACCTCACCTCCAACATGCATGAGAAAGGAGCCATCAGGTTGCTTCAGCGAGTACAGATACTCAAGAAGCTTCTCTCTGAAAAACAAAGGGGAGAGAGGCAGGAAAGGCATGAGTAGTCATGAGCAGGTAGGAGGGAGCCCTCCTGAGTTTCCATTACGGTGGCATGGCTATACCTGTTAATGACGTCGTAGGCCTCCTCAGTGCCAATGATGCACAGCGCGTTGACTGCTGCATACGTGGGTGCAAGGTGTGGGTATTGACCAGGGCCTCCTCCGAAGCCGCCTTCTGGGCTCTGACACAGCTCCAGAAACTGACACACACTAGGTATGCAGTCAGAGGGGAACATGGTCAGAGAGCATCAATTTCCAAACTCCAAATTCCCACCAGGTTCTATGGCTTTCCAATGATCCCCCCATCACAACAGGAAAAAACCCTACCCTACTGCCTATTGACTATAACCTCCCCCAAAGGACTTAACTCTCTCCCTAGCTAACATCATTTTTTTAATTGCCAGAGGGTATGGGCACTTGTCAGAGAGAGATAGAGAGACAGAGAAAGAGGAAGAAAGCATCCCCGCCAATGGCGCATAACCAGTCATGCCGCCCTCCCCCACTTCTTCATCTTGCTGGGATTCTGGCCACACAGCCACAAGTACTTGGCATGTTTTACCAGCTCCTGGGCTGGCATTCAAATTGCTTGGTTGGCTATGTGGGCTCTGGCTCCCTTAACCACTAAGGCCATGGGACCAGCCCTATCATCAGTTTTGTATGCCTTCCTGAAGTTTGTATTTAAGCATTTGCTAGTCATGAAGCACAGAACTTAAGGCTGAGAAGACACAGATTCACATAGGCTTAGGGGCAAGAGTCTCATGCTTCTTCACCAAACCATTTCCATCCTTTTCCCTCATTCTGCCACCCTGAATATGTGGTACCAGCTCCTCCTTGCCTTCAGGGACCTTTCCGCTTTTGAATTTTGTCCACAATTTGGTGCTCAACTGCTTCTTTCCACACTAACCACTCTGGTTAGACTCATTCTCTAGGTCTGCATGAACACTTCGAGATGCCTTCTCACTGCCATTGCCACCTGAGCCCAAGTGAACTACTGATTCCTTTTTTTTTTTCTTCTACTGATTCCTACTCCTACCATTAATAAAAAACACGCTTTTTAATTTTTTTTTCTTCCATGAGCAAGAAGGACAGAGTGAGAGACAGAGAAATAGCACCCCCAATGAGGTCCCGATGCCACAGCCCTAGCTAGCCCCAAAACATGGGCATGTGCACAGCTGGTGCATTCAGGGAGATCTCTGGATGCCAACCTAGAACCTTCCCATGTGGGAGAGCCCTGCAGATACCGCACCATAGCAACACTGACCAGCCTCGTAAACAAGCTTCACTGGAGCCCACCTCCATGGTTAGGAGAATGCAAGATCAGTAGGCTTCAATCATGCCCACCTTGATTGTGGCAAACCCACTACTGACTCGTGTGACAAGAACACATCACAGCCTGCGGGTTCTTGGAGAATTCCTCAAACTAATCCAAACAGGCTCCAGTTACTGAGGGTTTACCTCCAAGCATGGCATCAGATTGCCCAGAAGTTACATTCTTGCTTTAGGTGAAATCCTAAGAACTCCTATTTGTCCCAGGTCCTCTGTAGTTCACCAGAAAAGGATGCTCCAGGAAAACTCTGGTTATTCAGTTGTCCCCCCCGGGTCAGCAGGGTCACAGTCTTCCTATCAGGTCAAACCTCCATTTCAGAGAACAAGCTACGAACCAGGGTCCAGCTAGTGTTCTGGGACCTTCTTCTCCTGGGCTTTTTCTTCTCATTATTTCTTATCTATGCTGCCAGAAAGACCACAGATTCTAGTCAATCTCATAAAGACACAAACTGATCACTGGTTTGCCAAACCAACTTGACCACTTTTGATTTCAGACATTGCATTACCTGGGCAGGGACAGCAATATAAAATGCTGCTGGCCTGTTGCTTGAGTCCTGAAATCCTTACAGGTTAAAAACAATACACATTCACACTGTTTACACATAAAAGATTTCTGCAGAAAATGCAAGGATTGAATCTAAAGTTAAGGATCAGAGAAGGAAAGACTACAATGGCACATTTTATTTTTAATTTTGTGTGCATGTATGAGCGTCAGTGATACTTTTTTTTAGAGTTGTGCTGTTTTCCATCCTCCTGCCTCAGCCTTGTGAGTAGCTGGGATGACAGACACACAGCACACCTGGCTTTCTAGGGTGGGCTAGAATCAAGACCATGCTTCCATGTGGCCTCAGCTTACTGAGCAGCAGTGTCCACTGCATGCTACCACAGCTAGGCCTGTGGCACATTTTTAATAACAAATAATTTTTGATAACTTTTAATTTTTAAATTCCACATAAAGTCTCTATCATGATGTATATAATATTTTTTTTCAACAGAGAATTTTACTTTTTTCTGTCTGTTAAGTTAATGTTTCTTCCCTTTGCATCTCACATCCAGCCTCTACCACCCACAGTCTACCATCCTCTCCTCCCTTATGATCTCTGGAATTTACATGTATCTTCTTTATTATCCCATATTCAGATCCCTCAATTTCTGCCACAGAGTGCAGATATTTGATACAAACTGAATGGGGATATACAGCATGTATCTTTCAAAGTCTGGCTCACTTCACTCAACATTAAGTCTTCTATATTTATCCACTTTGAATCAAATGATAGGATCTCTTTTTTTTCTTATAGCTGAGTAATAGTCCACAGTACATATGTAGCACATACATAACAGTCTGTTGTATGTATGTGGCATATACATAATATATAATAGTCTGTAGTATACATGTGCCACATATATATTTTTCAACCCAATCATCAGGTTTTGGACACTTAGGTTGGCCCCATGTTTTAGGAATTGTGAATAATGTTACAGTAAACATGGATGTATAAGTATCTTTTCAACTCAGTGTTTTCCTATCCTCTAGGTAAATACCAAGGAGTAGAATTACTGGGTCATATGGTAGTTCTATTTGTAGGTTTTTGAGGAATCTCCATATTGGTTTACACAGAAGTTGTACTAATTTACATTCCCACCAACAGTGTAAGAGGGTTCCCTTTTCACCACAGCCTTGCCAGTACTTATCGTTCTTTATTTTTTTATTCTAGCCATTCTAAATGGGGTTAAATGGTATCTCATAGTGATTTTGGTTTGTTTAGGTTTTTGTCATAGGGCATGTGCATTTGCCAGAGACACAAAAAAGAGACAGTGAGAGGGAAAGTGAGACATCATCCCCCTGTGGATGGTCACCCTGCAATCTCTTCTCTTCCATTCTCCCGGGATTTGGGGCATGCACACACATGCACCTAGCATGGTTTTCAAACCACCAGATCCAGCACTCAAACCACTGTTGGTCATGTTGAAGTCCAGAGCCTCAACCTCACCACCTGTTGACCCCTTTCATTGTGGTTTTAATTTGCATTTCCCTTATTACTGGAGACTTTGAACATTTTTTCATATGCCTTTTAGCCATTCATAAGTCTTCTTTGGAGAGCTATCTATTCAATTTATTTGTCTGTTTTTTAATTGGATTAGTCTCTTTTTATGGACAAGCTGCTTGAGTTCCCTATATAGTCTGGATCTCAATCCCTGTCTGAGGAATAATTTGCAAATATTTTCTCCTATTCGGAGGGTTGTCTTTTTACTCTAATTATTTTTTGCTTCGCTGTGAAATAATTTTTGCAGAAAAACTGTTCCTTACATATTTTTCAAATTGACATCAATACTTATGCCATTTCCCAGAACAAATAGCCAGTAAACTTATGTCCTAACGAAGGTTGTCTTCACTAGCATAACCAATGCTTTTTGTACCACAAAACCAAAACATGTTAGCTGATATAAAACTTAACAGCACATTAAAAAGAAGAAATAAAAAGAGTCAACTAAGTATCCATTCACTTTCCCAGCTCCTAAGATAGCATGGTAGTGAATACAACACTCCTGACCCTGTAGCCTAAAGTCCAAGTAAGCTGGGATCTCAATGTACCAGACACCTTGACTCGTCCCTCCATGCCAACCTCTCTCAGCTGACACGCAGCACTGGGCTGTCTCTGGGGATGTGCTGGAGAACTGGGGGTTGGGCTTCTCTTGAATCTCAGGCACTTCCATATTACAGAACATTCTGATCCCGAGGCTTTCCAACTTGCACCTTAAGGAACTGCCAAATTGACCGTGAGGCTACCAGCTGTCATTAGCAGCCATCTTTGCAATTTTGAAAAACAAAATGTTAATAATACTTCTACCTAACAAGAGGGAGAGAAAAACTTACCTTACAAACCAGAAATTCACCAACTAGTAAAATTTCATAAGGAGGCAACAATATACAAACACTGATTCAAGTACTTGAGTCAAATATTCACAAAATCATTCACTTAAATATATAACTGAAAGATGTTATAGATCGATTTTCAAGTTTATATCACAATTACCAATGAAGTGGGGAACTATCGTTTAGTCCAGGGATTTTCAAAACCCACAATGTGTGTATCAAAACCAATGGAAAGCCAATAAAGAACACAGACATCTAGGTCAACTGAAAACAAAAAAGCCTGGGCCTCTTGATTTTTACCACATTTCCAGGTGATCTGGATGCACAATTAGAATCACTCTGGGGATGTTCTCAAAAACAAAACAAAAAACCCTGCTGCCCAAGCCATACCTTAAATGAATTAAATCAGAATCACTGAGGGTGAGACCCAGGTGGCAGTATTTTATAAAAAATATTTCCTATGTGACTACAATGTTCAGCTAAGTATCAGGGCTTCTCAAACTTGAGTGTGCAAAGAAATCACCTGGGGATCTTGATGCAGCTCTAATTCAAAACCTAGTTGGGCCCGAGTAGTGCATTTCTAGTAAGCACTTAGGTGATGGCAATGCCACTGTGCTGGGGACCACATTTTGCACAGCAATATGATTCAGCTGTCCTGTTCAGTAGGCAACCACTAACCATTTGAGGCTATTAAAATTTTTATTTAAATAAATTACAACAAAAAAAAATCAGCTCCTCAGTCATTCAAGTCACATGTCAAGGGCTCAATAGCTACTCGTGGCTAGTAGCTGCCATTTAAAACATTTTCATTATCGTGGAATGTTCTATGGAATGTCAATGCTCTATCATTCAACCAATAAAGAGTGAAAAACTTGTAAGGGGATCAATTTCAAAGTATCAATGATTTCCTGTGGGCCTTATATATTTATTCAGATTTTTTAGGTGATGGTTAAGGACTGATCTCAAGTGGCTGATTCTGGATATCACTGTCTAACTTGGTTGAAGGACT